CAAAAGCATCAGCAACGTTTGTTGTTACGCTCATTTCTTTTGAATGAATTATTAGTATTTTTGATGAAAGAAATATCCAAAAACTCGGTTAGGTAAATTTAGGTAAATGAAAAAGTAGCTTTACTGTGACTTTCATTTATTTATTTTGCATGAAATTTGACCCAGCTCGTCTCCTTCTCCAAAAATAGTCAAAATTTTGTTCTTTTCTTATAAATATTTTTTGAAAGAGTGATTGTTAATGAAACAATATTACCACTCTTCCACTTTTCTTTCTTTCCACGTGAACATGACTCATATCTTCTTTAAAAAAAGGGTTTTTATTACTATTACTTTATCATTAAGTATTAAATTATTCAATAGTTATTTTATGAGGATAGAAAAGAATAGAACTTGCTAAACAAATAATTCCCTTCAAAGTCTTAAAGAAGCATTATAATTACTCACTTTTTTAGTTTCGATCTCTTTTTAAACAACTTCATTCATTTATAAAAAGGATTTCGTTTCCTTTTTTACTTTTATAAATACGACATCTGACGTATTGAAAGAATTGTATTGTTATTTCTTTCTACAATAAAAAATAATAAAATTAAAAAATCAAACAAAGAAAATAAATGAAAAATATTTAAAAAATATAAAAACAAAAAATACGAAGTGATTAGTTAAAATGGAATATTAACAAAAAAATATAACAATTTATTAAAAAATGAAAAAGATAATTTTCATTAATTTGGATAATATAATGAAAGATTATGAAACATATATAATGAAATTCTTTTTTTTTTTAATAATCAACTTAATGAGTTAAATAAAACATCTTTCAAACAAAAAGGACATAAACCATTTTGAGTTGAAATGAAATACTTTTGTTATTAGAGAAAAAGATAATTTAAAAAAGCCATTGAGAACTTCAATTATCTAATGACCAGTATTTGTTCTGTAACTACATCATTACCAATTTTGAATAATGTTAAATTCAGAGTCCTTGAAAAAGAAGATTATAAAAAAGGAATTTCAAATATTCTAAGCGAATTAACAAATTGTGAAATAACTGAAGAAAGATTTAATATAGTTTTTGATGAGATGGTTTGTTCTTTCTTATTTGAATGAATAATTACAATTTAAAAGAAAAAAAGTATTTAATAATAAAATTAATGGATAAAGCAAAAAAGTGGAAGATATAATATCATTGTTGGTGAAGATACTGACGGTAAAATTGTTGTTACTGGAACTTTACTTATTGAGAGAAAATTTATTCATTGTGGTGGTTTAGTTGGACATATTGAAGATATCGTAGTAACCAATTCAAGAAGAAAAGAAGGATTAGGCAAAGCACTTATTCAAAAACTCATTCAAATTGGAAAAGAAAAAGGATGTTATAAAATAGTTTTAGATTGTCAAGATGGTGTTAAACAATTTTATGAAAAATGTGGAATTCATTATAAAGACAATTGTATGGCTATTTACTTTAATAAATAGTTATTTATTTGTATAATATTTTATATTTTTTTTTTGAAACCAACTGTATAATAAATTATTTGAATTGTAAAATAAGTAAATTGTTTCAAACTAACCTACTGACTTTTTTTATTAATAATCTTTGATGATTAACAATTAAGTTATCTTGTTCTTTCTTTTCTTAAAATATTATAATTCTTTCTATATACTACTTATCCATTATATAATTAAAATTTATTTCTTTCTTCAAAACTTTTTTAAGTTGAAATATTCCTTTGTTAAATAACCATTACTTATTTTTGAAATATGTCTTTTTTATTTATAATGTATTTACAGTTTTAAAATAAATAAGAGTTACTACTTATTTTATTGATTTATAACCAAAGTATAGTGGAAAAGACTGAAAATTAAATGAAAATACATTTAATTAAAGCAATCAGATATTTAACAGAATTTATTAGTGTTTAATTAGTAATTTCTTTCCATATGATAATATTTACTCATTTTAATTCATTTCTATCATAAAGAATTATAACATTTTTTATTATATTCTTATTTTGACTTTATTAGTGTTAATATTTAATTATTATCTAATGTAATAAATATTATGCTTATTTATAACAAATGAATAAAAGATTTATTAATAACAAAATACATTCTTTACGTTAATTGACATTGCTATTTTGTCTGATAATCAAAAAAATTAGTAAGGAATTTAACTCAATACATTTTTATTAAACTGATGCCTTTTTAGAGAGTTATAATTTATTAAAAAGAATATGAAAATGATAATAAAAGGATTGTCTCATAATAAAGATAATGTAAATTGGTAAAATAATTGTTCATTGTATTGTCTAAAGAAAACAATAAAATATTTATTAAATGACTTTAATTAAACAATTCAGTGAAATAAAAAAGTTAAACAAAAGTATAATACTACCTTATATAGTATTACATAAATCAACACTTTTTCAAATAAACTCAATTACAAAATTTAATCATTCATTCCCACAAACAGTTTCAGTCCATTCTTTTTTATAATTTAAGTATTGAGAAAACCACCAAGTATTAAAGTGTTGTGTTTGAGTAAATCTCATCAAAAATTTTTTATTAAATTCATCATCTTCAGGCAATTTTAAAATGTTATCTTTTAAATCTTCAATTGTATCACAATTTAAAACAATAATACTGTGAAATATTTTGTTGAAGAAACTAACCCAGAATATATTCATAATTTCAGTTGTAAATTCACATTCATTTCCTTTAATTTTTCCATTCCAATTATTTATTACAATTTCAATTGCAGCAATTAAACTATTTCTCATTTGTTCTGACAAAATAGATCTTGACGATGGAAGTTGTTGGACTTGTTTTTTCTTTTCTCCATTTAATGTTGGAGTGAAAGCATCAATATTAACAAGCAATCCAGAGTTGGATGGATTTCCTTTTAAAGGTTGTGTACCAAATATTCCAGGTACTGGAACATCAAGTAATTCTATATGACTATGTGGAACCATTGGAAGAAATACTCCTTGCCAACTTAAAGGATGTAATAATGATAATAATCCAAAACATCCAGCTGTAAATAATGTTGGTCGAGTTGAAGTTAATATAACAGAAGTCTCTAATAATATTGATTCAAATAAATCTAAAATAATGTTCAATGGTAATGTAGTAAATAATATTGGAATAGAAAAGTCACATAACAACATCATATTAGGTAATGGATAAATTGTTGTATAACGTATTTCTAATGAATGAGGACATTTTTCAATAATTCCTTTTTTAACTTTATTTTTGTATGAATGAATTAAGACAATAGTATAGCCTTTATAATTTATTTGTTTATTTGGTGTTTGAACTATATGAGATTCAAGTTTTGGGGATTGTGAAGTAATAAGAGACCCAATAAGTTCTTCTAATTCTGCTTTTTTAAGTTCATGACTTTCGTTTCTTTTACCTGACAATAACGCAAGTTTCTTTCCAAAATCAAATTCAATGATAATTTTTAGGGCTTTTACCAACCCCATTACATGAGGTTGAAGACATAAAAAAATATAAAACCTTCTAACAGCATTAAAAGAACTTACTGTTGATGGTAATACTGTTGGTCCATTAATCAATGTTGAATGCATACAAACAGGTTCAAGGTGTGAAACAATAACAGCAAATTGAGATAAACCACTTCCAGGTAAAATTGTTACAGCTGGATGCATTCTTTCAGTTTCTAAATATTTCTTAACTGAAATTCTTTCAAATGGAGTTGGGCTTTTTAAAAATGTTATTACCTTATCAGGTATTGTTAAATTGTTTGGGTATTTATATAAAACTTCTTGCTCACTTGTAGGAAAAAAGTTATTTGAAACAGGTGCTCCAATTATCATAAAGGATTCAATAATATGTTCTGATTGTTGTCTTAATGCACGTTCTAATGGTGTCAACACTTCATTCATTTTATTATTTTTAGTTTTTACTAGAACTTTTTAAAGTTCTTAAAAAAAGATTATTTCACATTAATTATCGTTTTGTATAACATGAAAATATTTAAAGAATGAATTGAATTGGAATAATGAATTGTTTTAAATTGAGTCTTTTTTCCATTCTAAGGCAATGACTCTCTCAACTTTTACAACAGTAGTTCCAGTGAATACAAAATATTCTTTTCCAATAATGTCATTATAAATACTACTGAATGAAGATGAAATACTTGAATCTTTTTCTCGAATATAAAAGAACCATCTACATGTTAATAAAACATCTTCACCATCAACAGATTTATATCCATTGAAATTAATCCCTACTGATGGTCCAAAAATACTTTTTTTAACAAATTTTGTTGGTGGTATTGATAATGGATTTTTTAATGTAAAAATAAAATGTTGTGGATCATCCATTACAAATCCTTCACAACTTGGAGCAGGTAGTCTCTTACTATTGTAACACCCAAACACATTTCCATCTGTTGTAAACACTAAAACCATAACATGTTTCTTTAAACAAATATGGTTATTAATTCTTTCTTTTTTAAACCCATCTAACTTTGAGTTATAAATAACATCATATTTTTGCATTCCAGTCCACTGTTGTAAACTAGGAATAAATGACTTAATAATCCCTTTGTTTAAATTTTCTTCTTTAGTGATTTCTAAGGAATTTAATTGGTCTTCTAGTACCCGTTTTTCTTCTTCCTCTTTCTTTTTTAACCATTGTTGTTGTTCTAGTTTTAGTCGTTCTTGTATTTCTAAAGCTTCTTTTGTTTTACTATCAATATTACTTGATGTTTTTTTATCTGTTCTTACAATAAACGATTCTCTAGGTTCTAATTTATTTGATTTATAACTTTCGCTTTTAATGCTTATAGGTTTGGCTACTACTACATTTGAATCTTCAATTTTATCAGATAACCGTTCTTTTTTACCTATAACAAGACTGTTTTTATCTTCTTTAACCTTTTCTTTGAAATCAGACAAGGATGGTTGCCATAATTTCACAACCTTTCCTGTTTTTTCTTCATTTTTTATTGGACTATCAAATTCAATTCCTTCTTTTATTTCACAACTATTTAATACACTTCCAAGACTTTCACTTCTGCTTATTGACTCATTAAAAATACAACTATTTGAACTTTCATGATTATCACTTCCAAAATCAAATTCACTTGACTTTTGTTCTTCTTGACTTTTATTTTTAAATACATTATCATCTTGGATAACTGGTGTTTGATGAGCTTCTGAACATTTTTTGGGGAGTGCTTTTAATGTGTTATTTTCTCCTTCAATTTCATCTTCACTATCCATTCCATATCCAAGTTCAAATCCAATACCTTCTCCACAATCTTTTTCTTTAAAATCAGAAAGGCTAATTTGTTGAAATTTTTTCTCTTTTTGTTTACCTTCTACAGTAATTTGATTATCCATAACTATTTCACATGACCCATCATCACTTTCAGACGATCCAAAACAAAATTCGTTTGATTCTGAGTTATTAATTAATGATGTAGATTGATTCAAAGATGAAGTTTCTAGATGAAAATTTTCATCTTGAATTAATTTCTTTTCACCACTTTTATCATTAACACAATCTTCACATAGTTTTTGTTTATTTTCGTCTGAAACAGCAGTGGTATTAGAACAAACATTTTCATTGTCACTTTTTTCAGTTAAAATGAATTTTTTATCAAATCCTCTTAAGTGATTGTCAGAAGACATTTCTTTTATTATTGGTTGTGGTGAATCACTTTTATATTTATTTTTAATATCAACAGGAGTAATTAGAGGAATTGGATTTGTAACATCAGTGTCTTTCACTTTTTGTGGTTTTGGAAGAATAAAATGTTTACTTTCACCTATACGATTAGTCATATTTTATCAGTTTATTAATGTGTTATTTATTTCAAGTTCTTTCTAATTTTATTGTGTTTCAATAAAAAAAGAAAAAAATAATAAAGAAAAGGTCAATTAATAGATATTCCACAACTGGATTGTATGAATATTGAGAAGTGTTTATTTCAGTT